AACACTAAACAGCTTATCCGTCTTACATGTACTCGCACTTGGGTGAGGTTATATGGTACAACAGTTTTGGATGAGGTGAACAAATTTGTGACAAATGGAAGACAGAACACGAAACAATGGGTATTAGATGGATATGAGAGCATAAGAATGGAAGTAACTGCAGAGGGCCTATTGGCCCATAGTTCCTCTTGATGCTTCTATATTAGTTCGGAGTCTTGAAGTGGGTAGAATATAGTTGTGCATAATTGGCTGTTGATTGCTGGTGTTGACTTTTTGATGTGTAGTGCCTCGCAGATGTCGACCCACCTGCTATCACTGTACTTATCGATGATTTCTGTGTTGTCTGTTTAAGACTTTTTCTGGTGATGGTCTGGTTGTGAGAGGAGATTATGTGTTCCTTTATGGAGCTCTGTTGCTTATGCATTGTTAATCGCCTGGAAAGAGACGTTGTTGTCTTGCCTATATACTGAGTTCTTTGGGGCTTACAGCCCCCAAGTGGGCATTTGAAGGCATAGACGACGTTGGTCTCTTTCAAGGCATTCTGCTTTGTGTCTGGAGAGTTTTTCATGAGTAGGTTGGCCGTTTTTTTTTTATAGTTGGCCTACTACAGTTGTGTGTGTAAGCTAAAGTCTTTGAAAATGTAATAAGTTATTAGGAAACGCGTTCAAGCGTCGCGTAATAAATCACTCACCCAAGTGATTTAAGGAGTTGTGTTCTTCTTATTGTTCCATTAACCTTTTGATAGCTGTAGGCTACATGTGTCAGCAGTAATTATATATATATTTATATATATATGATCGTAGTGTCACGAAGCCCAGTGTTATTGTGTGTTATTTACTGTGGTGATTGCAACGTGTGAACCAGTGTTTTAAGTGGTAATTAGAGCACTGGGGTCATTTGCAACAGTAAGTGTTGGGCAGTGTACTAATATAGTTTGATTTAGTGCACATTGCCGTGTGTGTTATTGAAAAAGGGTTGTCATTGATGGTGATTGTTGCTAGTGTGGATCGATCACCGTTTGTGATTGCAGTTCAGTAAGTCATTGTGGGGGCCGTGTTCTTGAGGGTTCATGATCTGAGGGTTATTTACTAGTGTTCTGCATTATTGTCATTGCAACTGGATTGTAACGTAAATCACTGTGATTTGTTAGTGTGATTATCATTGTCGTGGGTGAACTCGGCTGAAGACGAGTACTTGGGTTTTATATTCTCCTGTTTATCTGGTAGGACATCGATGTCCAGTATTCAGTGAGGTGATTGCGAGGCAATTAATGTAACGTAACCAAGGGAACGCCCATTGCTTTAAGAGAATTTGTTCTTTGACAATTTGAGTAACGTAGAATACGTTTGGGTTAATTATTTTCCTGCAAACAGCTACGGTAGTCTCAGGGTAGCCTAGCCAAGAGCCAGATAAGAAATTTGAGTATTGTCTGTCTTAATCAACGGTCAGTGGGCCAGGTAATTGACGTGTTTCAGGAAGTCAAAGTAATTAACTTCGATCCATGTTTGATCGACTCACACGAAGGCTCAATTGTTCCATTAACGTAATGTCGTTATTTATACATCCGGAATTACCGGCACTTGATTGACTCGTAGGAAGAGTAACGTCATTTTAGAATAACGTAAATGTGGTGATTAGCGTCCTTAATCACCTGAATTGGTCTGAGTATGGAAGGCTCAGACGGAATTCATACCTTAATGTAAATTGCTGAGCTGTGTGAAAGGTTGCGTATTTAATTGTTTAACTATTGATCTTGAGGATAGTAATTAATTGCTCTAAAGGTAATCTCGAGTGATTACAGTTCTCTTAGCACTTGGGACATTGTAAATCAGAGTTTACCATTTTTGAGTGATAGTAGTCGATAATGTAAATTAACGATTGCAGTTAATTTAACTAATAAATAAAACTAATTACTACTACTAAAGTAGTAGTAGTAGAAATTAATAAAGACAAAAACAGCGGTCTGGAAGTACAGGGATTAATGGGATATATTTCTTGAATGCTCGACGGGTAGAGTGTTTGTTTAATTTCCGCGTTACTAGTGACAGTTGTAAGAATTATTAAATTAACGTAAATGTTACTTTATTATTAACCTAAATCAAATTGTTATTGATTGTTCTTTTTGTTTTTATTATAAAATAGACATACAAATTAAATAAGATATCGAAGCCCCCGATCATTAAATGACCCTTTACAGAAACAACCCAACCCGAAGACAGAGTAACAAAGCAGGACACATAAATGACAGGAACATGAACGAAAAATAGAGGGACACGGAGAAGACAACGGAGCATAAAACAAAACAAAAAAACAAGCAAAAATCACACACACATACATACAAGCTAAATATAATATTTTTCAGGAAACAGACGCTTTAGGATATTTCTGACAATACGCATGCCACACATCCCAGGCATCCTGGGATGGGGGCACACCTGCATCCGAGCGACGAGGACGACGCATATACTCCGGAATCTCGACAATGACACCTCCAATCACGAGCGGCGGTACATCCCGCGGCACAGGTTCATATGGCGCCAAGACTCCCCGGCCGGTGTCCTTTTTCAGCACGAGAACTAAATCACGATCCACACCAGGGGCCACAGCAGGTGCAACAACCTCCCATTTCGGAGAACTGGCACACGGAGGCGCAGGGGGGCACAGTGGAGCAACACCCGAAACGCAGGCAGGAACAGGCACCGTACCATCCCCACCCGTCTCCTTCGCAGGCGCGGCCAACATCACCACATCCTCATGGTCCACACCAACACCGGCAGGAGAACCCACAGAGGCCACGTCGCTCACATGGACCACCACATCCTGGGAAACTGGCCCGGGACACCGGCGCGCCCGCTTCTGCAAAGGAAGTACATCATCAGAACTACAATCGTCCAAACTCACAGGGTCGTCAGGCCTCGGCCCCGGGGGTGGCAGGCTCTCCAAAACAGAAGAACCCACGTCTCTGGAAGCCGGGACCACATCTGCAGGCGGGGGCGGGACATGGACATCCACTGGAACATCCACCACATGCAGTGCGGGCGGCGGCCCGGCACTCACACTCATTCGCAACAACTACCTCCGGGGTGGAGTCTGGCCCTTGCTTCGGTAAGGGGGAGGACGTGTTGCATCGGCGCTCCAGCAGTTTGGTGTTGTTTGCCCGTTTCGGCCGGTTGGGGGCGGGTGTGTCTCTGCTCGCCTGTGCTGACGTGGCGTTACGATGGGGGTCTCTACCCCCAGTCGTCCGGGCTCAGTCTGTGGGACTAGAGTTCTCTGTGCGGGCTGGTTACCCGGAGATTGCCCTGGCTTGTGAAATGCTCTCTGTCCTGTGTTTGCGATTTATGGGGTCGAGTTGGTAACGGCCCGTAGGGCAATTGTGAAGTTTGCAGAGGAGGTGGCGTATCGCGATTTTCTCCGGCGATACGAGGGGCGGACTCTGCCCCTGCCGGATGGTGCGGGCACTGTCGCCCTCTCGGATAGAAGTGGTGCACTTACTTACATCAGTGTGCATGGGGCTCCCTTGGAGTTTCCAGAGGCTCTGCTACGGCGGTATTTCGGGCGGTTTTGGCGCAGTTGTTAGTGTGAGAGTGAACGTGGTGTCTTCTAGTCCTCTTAAGGGTGTGAGGTCTAACATTCGCACCCTGGGCATGAGACTCCGGGCGGATATTCCGTCCTCTGTGCGCCTTATGGGGTTCAACGTTCGGGTGTTTTACGCCCGTCAGCCGCGGACGTGTTATCGTTGTGGTCTTTTGGGCCATCAGGCTGCTGACTGTTCTGCGCCTCCTGTTGCACCAGTGAACCTCTTCAGTGAGGAGGATTTTCTGCCCCTTCCTGTGGGGGATGATTCGGTGGGTATGGACGTCTCTTCGGCTGAGGAGGTGCCCTCTGTAGCAGCTGTTGCTCCGCCTGTTGCGCCCCCTGTTGTTGCCGCATCTCCTCCGGAGGTTGTGTCCTCGCCTAGTGCTCCAACTGGTGTCCCTGAGCCTCTTCCGCCTGCCGTTTGCTCGGTCCCCTCGTCTTCCAGTTCTTCCTCTGCTGTGTCTGTCCCGGTCCCTGCACCCTCGCCGTCTGTCCCGGCTGTGCTGGGAGCTGAGGTGGATCCGGAATTCCCTCCTGTGCCTGGCCTGGTGCCCCGTGTGGTTGAGGAGGCTGCCGTGCTGCGGCGTGCGTCGGTTCGCTCGGTTGGTGCTGCGCGGGTCGCTGAGTCTGCCTCCGGCTCTGATGATGTGCGGCCCGAGCCTAAGCGTTCCCGGCGTTCTTCTGCGTGGGCTGATGTTGGCGAATTCGACGAGTGTCGTCCTTCGGTTGACGGTGGCGTGGCTCCGGATGTGGTGCACACTACGGTGGTGGCGGAGGTACACTTGCCTGAGGATGGCGGTGCCGGCGTTTCGGCCTCAACCTCTGGTCCGGTGTCCGAGGGTCCTGCTTCAGGTGCGTGTTGCCTGCGTCGGATGGCTCCGGTTCTTCGTTCGGGCGGTGGTTTCCCCTGCTGTAGTTGGTGGTGAGCGGGGTGGCCTGGTAGTGATGTTGAGAAAGGATGCTCGCTCTGGATGTTCTGTGGCTCCTTCCTCGTTACCCGTTTCCTCGGCAGCGGTCTTGCCGCCTCTTCCGTTTCTGCAGTCCCTTCCGTGTCTCCTGCGGTATCCGTGGAAGTGCTATCGTCTCAGCGTCCGACACCTGCTCCGATGACGAAGGCGTGGCAGGCTCGGCGACCCTCGTCCGCTTCTCCGGTGTCATCTGCTTCCTCGAAGGGCGTGGTTGGCGCTCCCCGGCCTCGTTATGCGACTTGCGTCAGTGACCTTAGGCATTGGCCGATGCCGCCAGATATAGATGTTCCCGAGTTTATGATACCCGCTCGAGCGCGGGGGGTCGAAAACCTACCGACCTTGAAGATCTAGTCTGGGAAGCTTACAAGGCGAAATATCCTCATGATCTTTTCCCGGAGAAGTACATTTCTCACGAGGTTCCTCGCAAGTGATTTCTATGTATTTTGTGTTGCCTGGTTGTGGGGTGTATGTGAGTGGGTGGGGGTGGGTATTGTTTCCCGGTTCCTGCGTGCTCCGGTTTGTATTGTGGGTTTTCTTGTATGGCTAGTGGGGGGGGTGTGCGGTTCCTGTGCGTTTGTGTGTTCGGTTGTGGATGTCGTGTGCGCTTGCTTGTCATATTGTGTGCCCTTCAGGCTGTTTGGGGTGTGCTCTTTGTTATGTGTGCATTATGTGTTTGAGGTGTTAGTAGACTTGTTTTGTCTGTTTCTCGCCTCTATGCTTCCCTTATGTTTGTATTACGCTGTGTTTATATTTGTTATGTTTGTATATGCATTTTTTGTTTTGTGGTCAGCCCTTCTGGCTGGTCGTCTTCTTGATTGGTTCCTTTGTCATTGTTCATGTGTGTGCTTTGTTCTTTTGTTCTATGTTATATTTGTTCTGTTTTTTATTGTACATTATACGCATGCTGCATGTAAAAATAAAAATAAAAAAAAAAAAAACTACCTCCGGGGCCACAGCAGTTAACAGACTGGACGAACAAGGCGTAGTATCCGTCCCAACAGGCGGAGCAGCAGACAGGCAATCAGGCGCCTCAGGCACAGCACTCACCCCATTCTCAGAAGTGTCGCGAAGTCAACAGGGGTGCAAAGTCCTCTTCACGAAAAATATGTACCCTGCCAGATGCTCCCACGTCGCACGCTGCAGCGAGACGACCCTCATTACCACACCTGTAACAGGTGCACGGCTGCCCCCGATACAGGCAGCGGAGCGGGTAACCAATAAGGACACAGAGGACGGAACACTACTCTTCAGTGACATGGTCAGGGTGCGGGAGCCGTCAAGCATCCCAGCACAGTGCCCTGCAAGTACCTTGTTCCAGCGA